GTTGAGTAGTTGACATGTACATATTTTCTCAAAAATATTTAAAACCCTACTGTCTCTGTTGTTACAGAGTCACAAACAAAATTATACAAAATTACAAGAAATATTTTGAACATTATCTCTAAAATTCAGTATTTTGAAATTTTGAAAGTTGTTTATTAACTGTCAAGAACTCTGGAGAATGAGCAAAAATTTTTTGATATGTGAAGTAAATGTTTGTGGAAAATGTAAAAATAAATAAAAGAAATAGAAGGGGAAAAGATATATTTGATTAAATGTAATATAAAAATAATAATAAATAAATTTTTAAAATTTTAAAAGAAGAATAGTCAAGGGACCAGCAAGTGATATGATAGTCAAGGTACTGAACTCCCACATGGCCATCCGCGGTTCTAGTCCTAGACCTAGGGGCCTGCTTTCTCACTTTCCATCTCTGTCTCTCTGGTGAGTGCACGTGTCCTATAGCAAATTTTAAAATAATAGTGATAACAATAAAATTAATTTAATAAAAGAGTCATCAAGGGCTGGGCAGTGGCACCCGGGAATACAACCGGACCCATGAGGTCGTGTCACAGGACTGCCCCGAGCACACTGAGCACGCAGGCATGCCTGTGATCCAGGGCAGCTGAGAACAAGGGTGGCTGTGATAGGAAGACCCAGTAGGAGTTCTTATCTCTCTGCCTTGGAAGACATGTAAAAAGAAATAGTCAAATTCACAAAGACATGAGGAAGAGTGGTGGTTGCTGGGGCACAGGGGCCTGGGAATGGGGAATTATTGGATGGATTTGGAATTTCAGTTGTACAAGATAAAAAGTTCTGGGGATAAAAAGTGATGGTTGTAGAACAATGTGAATGTGCTTGAAATTACTGGGCTGGGAGGGGCCAGCAGGTAGCATGGTGGTTAAGGCACTGGACTCCCACATGGCCAGCCGTGGGTTGAGTCTCAGACCCAGCGGCTTGAAAATCACACTGCGGATGTGCATGTATGTGACCAAAACCCCAAGAGGAGAATGGAGGAGAAGGGATTATGGCATGACCATTTCCCCTGGGGGGTGATTTATCATTTTCTCTCTCTACCTCTGTTGAAGCACATGTGCCCTATGGAAAAACCCTAAAATTTAAAAAAATTTTAAAAATAATTACTGAGCTGGGAGGAAGCAGGTGGCATGATAGTGAAGGGCGCTGGACTCCCACATGGCTGACTGTGGTTCGAGTCCCGGACCTGAAGACTTGCTTTCTGACTTTCCCTCTGTCTCTCTCTCTGTCATGCTACCCCTCTATGGTCAAACTGAAATAAATAAATTTATAAATATGTAAGTAAAATGAATAAAGTTAAATAAAATATACACACAGTGAATTTTGTCTCTTGATACACATTTGAGAGCTGACACCATCTCCTTTCTCCATGGATCCTCCTTAAAGTGACAAGATCCGGGCTCCTGGGCCCAGGCAAGCTGACACCTTGTCATGTGGCTGCTTTAATCCAGCAGACCCTGGCATGGCTGAGTAGTAACTATGCTATGGTTTGAGTGTCCCCCACCCCAGAATTCTTGTGTTGGAACTTGGTTGTATTGTCAGGCATTAAGAGAAAATCTGGGGACCAGCAGCTGGCGGAATGGCTGGGGCGCTGGACTCCTATGTAATCGACCACGGTTCAAGTCCCAGACCCAGTGGCTTAAACTCATGCCAGGTGCTTGTGCGTGTGTGCCCAAGATCACAAGAGGAGAATGGAGGAGAAAGGATTGTGGTATGGCTATCCGCCCCCCCACCCCCGGGGTGTGATTTCTCGCTTTCTGTCTCTCTGTCTCTCTCTGTCTTTCTGGAAAGCACATGCGCCCTAAAGCAAAAACCTCTCCAACAACAAAAAAAAAAAAAAATGAGAAAGAGAGAAAATCTGATCCCTCTATGATGTCAAAAGGTGGGGCCTCTGGGAATGATTAGGTGATTGGGAGTGGGGGTTAACTCCACCCTAAGAATGAGTCCTGGTGGATTTATCAGGCCAGAGGCATGTATACATGAACATAGAGAGATGCACGCTCTAGTTTTCTCACGATATGGTGCCCTGCATGGCCTCGGATAACCCCACCAATAGGAAAACCTTTACCAGCTATGCCTGCCAGACCTTGGGCCTCCAAACTGTGAGCTGAATAAACCTTGAGCATTAAATTACACAGATGCAGGTTTTTCTGTTAATGGCAATGGAATGGACGAAAACATGCTAGTATTAAGGTTACAAACTAGCCCCAGTTTGCATAAGGCTTTCCCAGTTTTAGCATGGAAGTCCCACATCCCAAGAACCTTCAACTCAATGCAAACTGAACTAGTAAGATTGGTCATTCTACTATTCCTAAATCTTAGGAAACCAAAAGAGGGCGAAAGCAGAGGAAGGAGGAAAAAAAGAGACTAGAAAAGTAGGAAAAAAGAACATAATGGATACAAGAAAGGTGTGTGCCGTATACACGATGTCTGAAGGCCCTCAGTGGTTGTCATGGGTTCTGACTCCTGGGTCGAGTTTATTGTAATTAGGGGTGTGATTACCACTAGAATGGTTAGTGTAGTAACAGAACCGGCGCCTGTGAACAGAGTACACAGCACCAGGCTAGTGCTGTACAAGTGCTGTGCCATTTCTAACTAGAATCCTGTAAGGCAATACTTTTGCTATCCTTATAGGGAGGAGCCCCACTGAAGAGTTAACTTATGCTTCCTCAGTTCTAGAGAGAAAGATGCCAATAAGCCACCTTGACCATCGTTAAGAGGATAAGCTTCTGGAGTTAGAAAAGTCATTCTTCCCCCCAGAAATAATTAGGGTAGCTGCTGTTTAGGTGTAAGCTCATTGTTCTGTTGTTTAGAAAAAGAGGGGACCAGCAGGTGGCATGGAGGTTAAGGTGCTGGATACACCCCCATGGCTGACCATAGTTTGGGTCCTGGACCCGGTGGCTTGCTTTCTCACTTTCCCTCTGTCTCCACTCTTTCTGGTCCAATGAAAATAAATAAATAAATAAAATAAACCATTCTTTTTTTTTTTTTTTAAAAAAAAAAGGCGTGTATCTGGGTCAGCAGGTAGTATGGTGATTAGGGTGCTGCTGGACACCCACATGGCCGACTGTACTTCGAGTCCTAGACCAGATGGCTGGCTTTCTCTATCTATCTCCCTGTGGTAAGTGTGGACACCCTAAATCAAATGAAAATTAATAATAATAAATAAAATTAAATAAGTAATTCAAAAAAGAGAAAAGAATGTGATCAAAATTTAGGTTTCTTTTTCTGGGTGTGTGTGTATATATTATGTGTGTGTTGGGGGGTTCTCCTGAAGTTTCCTGATCATGGTTGTGTGGATCCCCAAGGAAGGGAAGTGCTACAGTTTGAACGTGCTCCCCAAAGTTCAAGTATTGAAAAGTTAATGCCAATGCAAGTGTGGAGTATTGGGACCTTTAAGAGGTATTGAATTTAGGTAGAGCCTTCCTGAATAGATCAATATTGTTATCACAGGAATGCGTTCCTGATAAAGGATGCTGGCCTCCCTGCTCCCACCCTGTGTCTCTTTCTCTCTCCCATACGCTTGCTCTTTTTCCTTTCTGCCCTCCCTCATGGAATGTAGCAAGCAGGTCCTCGCCAGATAGGGGCTTCTTGATTTCAGACTTCTCAACCTCCAGAACTGTAAGAAATAAATCTGTTCTTTATGAATTACCCAGTCTAAGGTAGTCTGTTGTAGCAGCACAAAACAAAGACAGGAAGGAAACAGAGGTTTCAAGTCTACAAGAAAAGAGTATAGCCTAAATTGGAAGAGCCTGGAATGGTGGCTAATCCAAAGAACTGAGCTCTAAGAACTATTGTATAACTCTGGAAACCCAAGCAAAGGGTCACCCGCATCTGAGCCCCAAGCCCTGAGGAAGAAGAGTATCATTCCTCAGGGAACCATGCCAGCTGAACCAAGAAAGATCTGCACAACGGCCTGGTCTGATGTGCCCATGTAGGACCATCCGTCAACAGTGACATCCTGTGGCAACAAGAAACAGTGCAGTAGAAGGCTAAGCCTCCAGGCTCCCTCTGCTGGATTAGAAAGTCCAAAGTACGCCTTCTTCCACTCCGTTTGAATTCACTGTCTCAGGGCACTGGAGTTTGCAGACCTGATGCAGCTGATCCTGACACTGGAATGAATGACTAGAGATCCCTGAAAGAGGCTGCTCTGTATTTCTCTTAAACCTGCTTCTTTGGGACCAACAGATGGCGTAATGGCTACATTACTGGAATCCCAGGTAGTCGACTACGGTTCAAGTCCCAGACCCAGTGGTTTAAACTTATGCCAGGCATGTGTGCATGCATGCCCGAGATCCCGAGAGGAGAATGGAGGAGAAGGGATTGTGGCGTGGCCACCCCCTAGGGGGTGATTTTTTGTTTTCTGTCTCCTTGTCTCTGTCTCTCTTACAAGTTCAGGTGCCCTATACCGAAAACCTCTACCAAAAAAAAAAAAAAAAACCTGCTTCCTAATTTATTTTCTCCTCAAGAGCTCAATTATGGAAGAGGGATAATTTATATTGGACTCTTGTACTGAGAAAGCAACATCTACTACATTTAGTGGGGAAACCGAGGCTTAGAAGATCATGTTGGGGCATGCTATTTCCCAAAGTCAAACCAGTACTTCCAGATTCCCTCCAGAAACCCTTCCTTGATCCCAAGTCAGACATTCTCATAGTAGTCTAGGTCGTTCCTAGCTAGTATGTACACTTGGGAAGGCTGTGGCCCTCTTTCTACTGGAAGTACAAACTTTAGTTTTGAGGGTAGGTCAAACAGGCTGCTGTCCACAGCTAATGAGCCACCAGACCGCTATGATTATTTTTGCTATCAACTTAGGGGTTCTTTTTCTTAGAAACTGTACTCAAATAAAAAGCAACCATCGGCTTAATAAAGAGCTTTCGGCAATGACACAGAAGACAATCACATATCCTAAAGAAAATAAATATCAAAAATAAAATCGCTTTTTATTTTTACTAGTTAACCCTGTGGTGAACGTTTAATGACTGATTTGGGAGAAAAGAGCTGGGCTTACGATTCTTCATGCCTTTTCCCAGAGTGGACGTACTCTTTCCAAAGCACAAAGAAGGAAGCAGAATCATAAGATCAAGGTAAACATTGTCAAAGACGTTTCTTCTTATTAAAAGACATAGTTTGCAGAAAGATGAAAACACGCACTTGTGGGAAAGGAGAAGGCATTGGAACTCTGAGAGCCCATACAGGTTTTTGAAAAAGAAGCTGAATGTGAACTCACAGATAATTACTCTCCAGTGGATTATGGAAAGGAACTCAGAGATGCTTGGAGCCCTTAAGCTATGAGGCCAGTTTCACGGAAGAAGTGTACCTTCCACTTTGGAGACAGAACACTGCTTCTGTGACCCACTGTGGAATTTATGATTTTCATACACCCCCAAGGCCCACAACAGATGATTACTGAGTTGAAGTGGAACATCTACTGACCCTAATGATGTCACCAAGGTCAGCTTGGGAGCTGACATTCCAGACCCTGGGTGGAGATGAGTGCCCTTGGTTGGTGCTCATCCCCTTCCAAGTCTTATCCCTGGACTAAAACTGCTAGTTCCCAGATAGTCATCAGGAAACCAGGAGAAATGAGTTCCATCTCTAAGGTATTTTGGTTACCTCATCAGTGCGTTTGGGAGGAAAGGGCAGTGGGAATGATGAGGCCAGGGCAAGGTCTTTTCCATTATAAGGGAGGGCTGGTTTAGGACACGGCAAGGAGCGAGCACACTCTCACGGGAGTGAGCGCAGAGACGGGAGTTGCTGCTGCCTCTGTGAACACCAAGGAGAAAGGTGAGCTTGTGGATGGACCGGACATAGGGGCATGAGGGCCGGAAACACTGTTTTGACAGCAGAGCACAAAGGATAATTAATGCTGCCTCACTTTCTCTTTCCTCCTTTCTCCTGTGTCCCCTCACCCCTACCTGGGAAATCCCAGTAATAGAAGTCTAGTTTGACCCAGTAACTGTCTCTAGTCAACAGTTATTCAAGTTAAACTTTCCTTCTTGTTGAGCAGCAAACTGGCTCTCCTCCACTTTGTCGTTCTCTTTCTTCCTATAAGGCAATTTCCTCCTCTCTGTTTTGCAAGGCCGATAGTTCAAATACAGCGCTATGGTGACGACACCCACTCCAAGGGCAACAATGATGATGATGAAGATGGTAGAGCTGATTCCTTCTCCTGGTCCTGCCCAAACACAGAAAACAGAGAAAATGAGAGGGTTGGAGACAAGAGAAGCACCCCATCCCAGCCAACTGAGCCCACTTCAGTCTCATCCTCCCCAGCCTTGTAAAATCTTTCTTCTTTCCATAATTGGATAAGAATCCCAAATTGGCTGGCGGCTGGCGGCTGACAGGGAGGTTAAGGCAGCTAGATCCCACACGGCTGATGGCATGGATCAAGTCCCAGACCCAAAGGCTTGAAATGCATGCCAGATCCATGTACATGCATGCCCAAAATTCCAAAAGGAGAATGGAGAAGGGAATGTGGCGTGGCAGCCATTCCTCCTCAGGTGGTGCTTTCTCACTTTCCCTCTCTCTCTCTCCAGCAAGCATCTGGAGAACACACACACTTTGTAGCAAACTTAAGAAAAAGAGAATCCCAAACCCCTGGGATCTCCCTCCCACCCTGACAGCAGGGCAGCACTGGTCACCTTGAACAATGACAGTGATGTCTTTGCTGACAGAGCCCAGCTGGTTAGTGGCCGTGCAACAGTAGGTTCCAGTGTGGTTCTGGGTTGCCTTCTGTGGCACTTCGAGATCAAAGACGATTCCGTTCCAGGTGCACACCAAGGTTGGGGCTGGGTTTCCCCTTGGGATGCAGGCAAGCATCTGCACCATTCCTTCTACCCATGTCTGGCTGCCAGGGCATCCAGATTCCTCAAACCGTGGCTTGTCTGCAAAAAACAGCACCCCCAAGGAGTGGCACTCAGTGTGCCCCATTCCCTCTGACCTTCATGTTCAGCTCCCTCTCCCTCCTGTGACCCAAATGCTGCCCCCTATTCCCAACAGCTTTCTTTCCCAAGGGAGTTCACTTGGTTCCCTGCTCTGGGCCAGCTCTTCCTTCCTCCCTTCCCTGTGGTCAAGGAATATGGGGTGCAGACCAGGGCGCTGGCGTGGGTCCAGGCTAAGGACAGCACTGCTCTGTCCATGGTGGCCTTGGGGCCTGGCTCTCCATCATTGCCCCTCAGGGGGTGAGGGGCTGGGGAGGGGGAATTCAGAGCTGAGCACTGTTCTAATTCTCAAATGACAGATTTTACGGAATTTTTGAAAGATCCCCCGCCCCCCAGCATAAGCTCCAACTATCATTTCTCCTCAGCCATCGGCCTCAGCAAATGCTGCCCAACCACTGTAACACTTGTCTTCAGCTCCTGGTTTCCTCTCATCTTGCTCCCATTCACCTTCCTGGAGGTTAGGCTAAGCTTTAAGGGTTTTCATTTTATTTGCTCCTTTGCTGGTTTTTGTTTTTTATAATGAGGAAAATATGTTGGGACCAGCAGTTGGCGTAATGGCTATGTCACTGGACTCCCATGTAGTCGACTGTGGTTTGAGTCCCAGACCCAGTGGCTTAAACTCATGCTAGGCATGTGTGCATGCCTGCCCAAGATCCTGAGAGGAGAATGGAGGAGAAAGGATTGGGGTGTGGCCATCCCCCCTGGGTGCTGATTTCTTGCTTTCTGTCTCTGTCTTTCTGGCGAGATGCACGTGCCCTATAGCAAAAGCCTCTCGAGACTAAAAAAAAAAGCCTCAAAAAAAAAAAAAAAAAAAAAGAAAGAAAAGAAAAGAAAAGAAAAGAAAAGAAAAGAAAAGAAAAGAAAAGAAAAGAAAAGAAAAGAAAATGTGGCAATTCTACTGGCCAAGAAGATTTCTGGAAACAGGAAACTCATACCCTTGTTTTGACAGGAAAAATCAGGCCTCTACTCACATAAAACATGAAGCTGGATCACAGTGGTTTTAATCAGTCGCCGACCCTGCACCTCCAAAGAGGCCTCACAGGAGAAATTTCGGCCATCGTCTTCCTCCCTGGCAGTAAGTGCAAGCCAAGCAGGCTCCCCAGGGGCAGGGCGGTCTGAGGCTCCCTGAAGCCAAAGAGAAGGGCTGGGGGAGGTTAACACATGCCCCGTGCAGGTCACATTAACGTCTGTCCCTGCCAGTGGGTATTCTTCTATCTCTAAGATTGGTGGAGGGAAGCCTTTGAGAAAAAGAGAAAGAAAACCAAACATGTCTCAAATCGGCAGCCACTCTATCCTTGCTGCTGGTGAAACCCCTTGGGTAGGCAGACAACAGGGCAAGGACTCCAGAAACCATGACTACTTCTGTAAAAGGAGTGGCAAGGTGGTTTGGGAGTGTGAGGGCTTCTTACGATAGACCCAGTGTGTGCACGTTGGGCCCTGCCTCTGCTGCCAGGATGGCAAGGTGTCTTCATCTTAGGGATTTCTTTCTCACCTCACATAACTGTTGCTAGGAAGAGGTTTGAGCCTCCACAATCACTCTGTAAGCAGGATGGCAAGGGTTGGATAGAAATACTATGACAACGCAATGCCTGTTCCCACACCGCCTGTGCTTATCAGGGCAAGATGACGGTGTCCTAGCAACTGTGAGCAGGATAGCCACAGTGGAATCACCAAGCCAGTACTACCTAAGGTCGCAAGAGCAGAGAGCCCACATGGGGAGAGGAGAGGCAGGGTACTCACTGTAGACGTGCACTGGCTCTCTTATTTTCTGTTCCATCAGACCCAGAGATGCAAGGCAGGACAGCTCCTGATCACCAGTCTCCATGGCCCGAACGGTGGCATTGGCCCATGCTGTGTCCCCCTCCCAGGAGAGGGAGGGGCTCAGCTCCTGGTCTCCCAGGTACATGTGGAACATGACATCTTTGGCTGGAAACACCTTAGCCACCTCACAGCTCACAGTCTCTGCCATACCGACCTCCAGCAGCGAAGAGACCCAAATCTGCGGGCTCTCAGAGAATTCTGTCAAGAAATGAGGAAACTCAAAGAAAGGGGAAAAAATAAATAAAACCTAAGGTAAAGCACATGCCATGTGAGATACTGCAAGCGAGGAGAGTGGAGCTAAAAGGTCTCTGTTCTTCTGAGAGAGTTTTATGCTCACATAGAGGTGGAACTCAATTAGTCTCATACCTTCACTCTACAACCTGTGGAAACTTAGTTTCAAGGCTAAAGTGATGACAAGCAAAATGAGCCCCAGCATTGCTTCCACACCTGGGCTCTAACTCACCAAAAATCCGGAGTACCTTGACAGCTGAGCTGCCATGAAGGAGCCCTCCACCTTGTGGACTCAGGTCTAGTTCTGCATGGCAGGAGAAATTGCTTCTGTCATTCTCCCTTTGGGCTCTGACACTGATGGTGACCTCAGGTCTTCGAGGGGCCACAGCCAAGCTCACAAAATTCTTTCTTTGCAGCTCTTTGTTACCCTGGAGAAGGGTCAGGGTGAGGTTCTCCAGAGGTGCTACACTGGGCACATGGCACTTCACTGTAAAGGTTTCCTCCACAGCCACCCATGCAGGCTGCAGCTCCAGGATCACCTGGTCTGGAGGTCCTTTAAGACAAAAAGGAGGGGCTTGGTGAGAGAGGGGGACCCACCTCTCCAGAAAGAAATAGCATAGGACAGGAAGTCTGTGATAAACAAATCACAGCGGGTGACTGCGATCCTTACAGCTCTCATCAACATTGTCAGCTTTCTGCCACTCCTGCCCCCGTTAGGACAGGCTGGGCTCTGGCTCTTCTGCTTATCAAAGGTTGGAGCCAAGATGTGTGACACTAAGGGGACTTCCCTGCTTTAACTGTTGCTGCTAGCTTTAGAGCTTTTATTTCTTCCCACAAGTGCTTCAGAGAAGCGAGCAACTTCTGAGCAGCTTCTTGGCCTCACAGAAAAACTACACCTTTGCTTACCAAGTTCTTACTCCACAGAGATCACACTTTGCCGATGCTATCTGCTCCCGGAACGACCCTACTCCCCCACCCCCCATCAATCTGAACCCTAACCATTCTGCAGGAGGGCAGCTCAAGAGCCTCCCTTTCCATGGAGACTTCTCTAACTACCCCAGCTCAGCAAAGACCCTCCTTTCTTCCATCCTAATTTATTCTAAGAACTTGTAGCAAATAATTGAGTGCTGAGTTCCAGCAGCTCCGGCGGCGGGAGGAGCGGTAGGGTTTATCCGCTGAACTCCACAAAGGTTCTAGGCGCCTCGCGGCCTCATCAGGCACCCAGCACGCATCCTGTCCGCAGCCAAGATGCCCAAGAGGAAGGTCAGCCGAGGGGGCAGCCAAGGAAGAGCCCAAGAGGAGATCGGTGAGGTTGTTGGCTAAACCTCCTGCAAAAGTGGAGACGAAGCCAAAAAAGGCGGCAGGGAAGGATAAATCTTCAGACAAAAGAGTTCAAACAAAAGGGAAAAGGGGAGCAAAGGGGAAACAGGCTGAAGTGGCCAACCGAGACACTAAAGATTTACCTGCAGAAAATGGAGAAACTAAAAATGAGGAGAGTCCACCCTCTGATGAAGCAGGCAAGAAAGAAGTCCAGTCTGAGTAATGTCATACACCATGTCTTATCAATGGTCCCTGTCTCCCTTCTTGTACAATCCAGAGGAATATTTTTATCAACTATTTTGTAAATGCAAGATTTTTAGTAGCTCTAGAAACATTTTTAAGGAGAGAATCCCACCTCATCCCATTTTTTAAGTGTAAATGCTTTTTTT